TAACATCACAATGTGTATGCACTCATTTTATAGCATACAAATCTAGTAATAAACATTTGTTTTAAAATAACTAAATTTTAAAATTAGTTATTTTTAAATTTAACATTCATTTTAACAGATTTAGTGACAAAAGCTATACACACCAAAAATACTGATTCAAGTAATTAGTTATAACCTTTGTAAAATTCTGTTAAAAATGAATTTTATTTTTGTTTCGGTGGGAAAAAAAGTATTCTTGTTGTTTTGTATACATTCCATTTGCTGTTCACAGCTTCACAGCCCACTCTCTCTGTGGATTAAGTAGTAACTGACAACTTTTTGCTCAACTGACTGGCAGGTATCATTCGGATGTCAGACTTATCTTTATGCAGATTCCCAAAGGTCACCATTTATGTATGTAAATTCTGAAGGGCACTAACTATATACAGTTGACAGATTCTGACAGCCACGATATCTCCAAGAGTGGAATAAGCAGGAATGACTGAATAATTAATGTGCTTTTACTCTGCTCATGGCCGGTTTTTAGATCCTGCACATTCTGCTGTGGTTTTAAAGTTAATTAGAAAACATAATTTCATAGCTAACCAAAATTTATTTTTTTAATTTCTATTTTAAAAGTGGGTAAAAAAAGAGAGATAATTAATGACCTTCAATTTAAAGTGTTACATTTGTAGAAATCACTCCTACCTAGAGATTAAAATTAACACCTAGCTCTGGGTATTATTTCTGTTAAAAAAATAGACATTACTATTTCTGTGAAGACATTACATTGTTACTGTATAAAAACTGTATAAAAACAAATAAGCAAAGAATTCTCCCTGCACAGCTAAATAAATGGCACCATCACAAACAGGGTTGCCACTTTCAAACCTGAGACTCATTTCTGACTTCGACTTTTCTCTCACTATTCAAATGCAGTCAGTAACTAAGACTTATGAATCTGCCTTCTAAGTATTCTTTTTTTTTTTTGAGATGAAGTTTCACTCTGTTGCCCAGGCTAGAGTGCAACGGCATGATCTCGGCTCACTGTAACCTCTGCCTTCTGGGTTCAAGCAATTCTCCTACCTCAGCCTCCCAAGTAGTTGGGATTACCGGTACCCGCCAAGATGCCAGGCTAATTTTTTTATTTTTTTATTTTTTTGTATTTTTAGTAGAGACGGGGTTTCATTGCCTTGGACAGGCTGGTTTCCAACTCCTGACCTTATGATCCATCCACCTAGACCTCCCAAAGTTCTGGGATTACAGGCATGAGCCACTGTGCCCAGCCCTAAATATTCTTAAATGCGTTACTACCACTCTACCACTCAATCTTTATTGTTGTTGTGTTAAACTGGATCTTTCTCATACCTCACCTGAGTTATCGCAAATATTTCCTAGGTGATCTACCTGACTCACACATGCTGCTTCCAGAGTTATCTTTCTAATATACAAATCCATGAGCAAAGCCAATGGCACAATATAAAGACGCATTAAAAACAGAAATTAAAAAGATGCTATAAAGAGAAAATATTTAGAATATATAAACTAATGGAAGGAGGCATTAAACAAATTTTGTGTAATGTGGGAATATATGTTCTGGAGAAAAATAAGACAGGAGATGGAGCAGAGGGTACCCCCAAACAGTTTTCCTTTTAAATAGGAATGTGCAGGGAAGGCTGCCATGAGAAAAGAATACCTAAAGTCTAGGCATCAAGCTATGTGAATAACTGAGGAGACTGATTGGTAGAAAGATCCAGGCTCTCAGGTAGAGTGGCCTAGTGTGTTCCACAAACAGCAATGAAGCCAGCGCAGCTGGAGAGCATAGAAGGTTGAAAATGGAACAGGTCTCCAACTGCTATATGTGACAACAGGAATTTTTACCACAGCAGAAAGAGCTATGCTTTCTCCAGTAACTGTATTCCTTCCCTGCAGTAAATCTCAAATGAAACTTCTAAAGATTTATCAGAATATTTGGTAAAAATTTGTAAATTCCTAGACTGACCATGAGTATAAACCCTGGTGAACAAAACCAGAGGTTTTACATTTATGTTCTAGATGTTAAGTTATTACAGTTCTTACTATTTATGTTTCTGTGTACTGTCATTTACTTATACCTCAAAACAAAATATATTCTTAAGATAAGTTAAATCACTTGAGATTTAAGAGTGAAATCCATGTCAGTCTTCTTGATTATTTTAAGTTTTTGGTTAGCTCCCTAATAAGTCTGATCAGTGTTTATGTTATGAAACCGAAAAATAACTTGTAATAGAAGTAGGAAAATATTACCTGTCATTTTCGTGTTGTTGTCTTGAGCATGTATTAATAAAATAATCTTCATTTTCCAATGTTGACATTAGGACGACATAAAAGCAATTTTCTAAATGTGAGGACTAGTTTAGTTAAAAATGATAGTAATTCCATAAATGCACTTAACCAAATACATGCAACATGAGTACACTAAAATACCCTTTCAAACAACCACCACCATCAAAATCCCAACGAGTAGCCATTTGGCATCCAACAGGATAGCTGTAATCAAAATGACAGACAACAACTTTCAGCAAGGATACAGAAACATGTGAAACACTCTCATGGTTCTAGTGGAAAGGCAAAATGGTGCGGCCACTTTGGAAAACAATTTGGAAGTTCCTAAAAAGCTAATCATACAGTTAACATATGACCCAGGAAATTCAACCTTAGGTATATATCCAAGAGGAATAAGTACATACACCTACACAAACACTTGTACAGAAGTTTCCAAAGCAACATTATTCATAAGAGCTTGAACAACTAAAAAAGTCCATCAACTGAAAAATGGATAAACAAAATGTGGTATATATCCAAATAACAGAATATTATTAAGCCATAAACAAAATGAAGTAATGATTCATGCTACAAGGGGAAAAGTTGCAAACTGTGCTAACTGAAAAAGACAGACATAAAAGCCCAAACATATGACTCTATTTATACGGTAGACCCTCAGTGACAGAATGTTAGTGTTTGTCAGAGAGTGGGGGAAGAGGGGAACAGAAAGTAACTGCTAAAGAATACAGAGTTTCCTTTCGGAAAAGTAAAAGTATTCTGAAATTAGAGAGCAGTGATAGCTACACAACTTTGTGAATATAGTAAAAAAAAATTGTATACTTTAAAATGATGAATTTATGGCATATGAATTACATATGAATTAAAACATTAGAAAAGAAATCTGTCAAACATTCAACACGTTAACAATCCCTATGATTTCTCCAGAAACTTCATATTTGGGACCTGTGGCAATCATTAAATTAAATATTATTAAGGCTTAATGCATTCTGATTATTCAAAAGAGACAGCAGTCTCTCAATGGCCATCCTTGCTCTTTTATGGACTCTTGCACAAACTAGTGTGTGGGCCTGGAACGTATAACGTCACATTCCATGTCAAAACAACTCCTCCTTGAATCTCGCAGCTTCTCTGAAGGTTTCGGAGCCTTCAGCAGAAGTGAACTGCTCCCACCTTTCTTTCTTTAGCAATCTGTCAAGAACTCTTTCAAAATGAGCACAATAGTATCTATAGTGCTTCATCTTTCTCACCAGTTTTTAATATGCCCACTACAAACATATCTAAGTTTGCTTGAATTAATTTTTTTAAAAAGGATGATTGCATGAGCATGTTTTGTCTATTTATTTATTTGACTAACATTAAGTACCAAATAAACCATTACATATTGAACTTAGCAAAAGGATCTCTGCCAAATTTAGTTATTAATATATAAATAAGCTAATGATACAAATGAAAGACAATCAATCATATCTATTCTGAAAGAAGGAAATAATATTAATTGTTCGCATATGTGAACAAATGTGAAGAAGAAAACGCTGACAATGAAATTACAAATGAAAGAGATTCAATCATGTCTCTTCTGTAAAACAGGAATAACACTGTTTGCATATAGAAATAAATATGGGGAAGAAAACAATGACAAAGAAATAAAGGCAAAAATATTTAAAAGACAAAACATCACCTGGAAAATGTAGTGCATACAAAGACAAGTACAATATATTTACTGTTTTAAGTCACTCGTTTCATTACTCTTGAACCTCAGAGGAAAGTACGGAATATTTGAAAATAGATGATAGCAATTAAAGCACATATCAATTATGTCAATAATTCAAAATGAAATAAACTTCAATCATTTTAATATGAACAACAGTAAAGAACGTTGATATTTCCAATTTTAGGCTGTATATTTCCAATTTTAGGCTGTATAATAATGTACACGCTAAATTTCATGAAGTAACCTTACAGGAATTACTTTCAGTAACTTCAAGAAAAGAGGAAATTCCAATTATACTGTTGATTGATTGATAAATATGCAGGCCTGTTTTGCCTTCTGTGATTTTCTGGGGAAGATATAAATATGTATATTGACCTTAAGTTACACCCCTCGAAATGTTTTATACTGGACTTCATAAACATATTTCTGATAAATAACAACACAATTTTTGAAAGTAATTTCCTTAATATTAAACATCTTGTTGCTACCAAATGAATAGATTTTGTTACCTAATATTTATATTCAACATTATGAATATGTAATTGAAAATGGAATGAATTAAACAAAAATGACTTTAACACATTGTGTTAGTGTACACGCAGCAACTGGAAAGAAAACTCAGTATGATTATTCTATATTAGATAAGAAAGTAATAAAACATATGTGCCTTTCCAAAAAGATGGAGACCTACAAAAACTGTCATTTTTAGCTAATTTATTTTTCATATAGCTGGAGTATATTTCCTTGCAAAAGCAATATTTTGAATTAATCATTTATAATTCTTTCAATAGAAATATAATTTTTGGAAACTGTATAACAAGAAATGGCAATTTATTTTCCAACGTATGTAAAATTCCATTTTAGTAACACACTATAAATATGCTGGCATTTCAATATGATAAAGACTTAAAATAATGTTAACTTGAAGATAAATATATTTAAATAAATTTTGAAATTATTTGAATGTCAATAATAATCTAATTACCTTAATTTGCTCTTCAACTGCTAAAAATCCATGTTTTTTTCCTCTGATTTACCAAATTAAACATGTCTGAAAAAAAGAAAAGAATGTTTAATTTGATGATGAGAAAATTAAATATTTTATTTCAGGTTACAGTTGTAGACTATTTGAATATTTCTTGATGCTTGCCAACTCTATGATTTTCACAATACCTGAACCATCACAGCAGAACTTTAGTATGTAGAGGAAATTTAGGATACAGATGACACATCTTCCTGTGCTACATAATTTATTATAATGTTTACTGGGAAAGTTGATGAATTTGGTAGCTATAGATTTTATACTTTTGCTAACGAAAAGAGTATAACAGTTTTTAATAGAAATTTTGTTATTTCCAAGAAATCTCCTTATTTCTTGTCACAGGCTCTTCTAGCTAAGATACTGGAATGACTCTTAATCTCTTTTGTTATTAGATAACAGGCATAGAAAACAAATTGAGAAACACCTTGGCACAGCTAATCATACACATGTAAATATGCACACCCTTATTTATGTATGCAGACACAAATACTGTTACCTATTTATTTACAATAATCTAAATAAACTTAAATTTTAAAAATCATAAATAAGCCAAAATAGGAGTTTATTTGAATTGAAGATTTATAGAAGTATTTGAGTTTTATTTTCTTTAAACTACCATGACATTTTTTATTTATTTTATTAAACAAACAATAAAACAGACTCTTAACATCCAGAAAATAGTACTGTCCTTCAAAGTAGTTTTTCTTTGGACATTTAATGTTTCTTAATGGTTTTGCCACTGGCCGTATCAATTTTTGAATGTTCTAGTATGTCTATTTAAAGAGCTTTACATGAGAATCAGCTATGTTAGTTAATTACTATTATATTTAATATTTATTTATGCTATTACTGGAAGTATGCAATAGGGAGGTTAAGTAAATATATATATGCTAAACAATGACAAAATCCATTATCTATTCTAGACTTTTCCCCCCAAATGGATAAAGAATAAGATACAGGGCAGAAAGTCAATAGCATAAAATTAAAATTGAGCTCTACTTTACCAAATCACTATTGATTAAAATAAGATATACTATGATATAAAATAAAAACAAATTAGTGGAAGCTAATGAAAGCATTGTATTTTGTTCTGGGACTTAAAAACAGTAAAGCAATGAAACTCACTGTATTTTTTGGAGTGTGTCCACTTGTATTTGCACAATTAGTGAGGTTTTTATACCACAAGAACAATTTAAGTTCATACTTGAATGCCACATTTGACTGCTTGGACAGGAAAACCAATTTTTAAATCAACTGCTTAAATTTTACCAGAAGATTATTCTAGCATATTCTCTCAATAATTATTGGCTGTTAATTTTTCCCTGGTTTTTGAAGAACTGGCATAACTCATCTTCAAATATTCTACATATCTAAACAATCCTGGGTTGTTCTCTACAGATTTGCCTACAATAGTATTATCTTTTAGAGCTTTTAATTTTTCCCTCCCATCTGGGAAATATATTCCGACATCCAAGCACGACTAAGTCCACAAAGTTATCATGAATACTACGAAACCCACTCCACCACAGACGAAACCAATCTTATCTTCCCTGACACTCCTATATCTCTTTCTAGATTTCTCGATTTTGCTGAAAGCTACACTATAATATGAATTGCTTGAGAACAGAGACTGACTTCCTCAATCTGTATCACCCCTCCCTAAGGAGCCAAAAAACTATCAGCACCACAAAATGCTGACTGGGTAAACAAAACACTTCCATTTCTTAATTAAAGAAAAAATAACACCAAAAACAAAAAAAAACTTGTTTATTGGAAACTCTCTGTATTGGCTGCACATAAATTGAGAACAAAAACAAAAGTACACTATTACATGTGTCTTTGAATTTGTTTGTATAGCTACCTTTACAGGTTCCTTTTCTTTTTATAGGTAAGGACAGAGAATCTTCCATTTACAGTTTGGCTATTCAACATGTCATTGCCTCTCTCAATTACAGCCACTTATGGCACTTGAGAGTCAGCAGACAGCTCCGACCAAGGACAAGCTTACACAGAGCCACTTGGCCTGCTAATGCGAAGGCAGCCAAATGTGAGGGGAAAATGCCAGGAAGAAAAGGGGAGCAGGAGGGTGAAGAAAATAGAAAAGAAAATTGCAAGAAGGGCAGGAAAAAGTGTTATGTCAAATGATACTGTTCTTTCAGTAAAAAGTAGTAAGATTAAATTTGTTTTATAATTAATATATTTGATCCAAAGGGACCTTTTAAAAGGAGCTACTAGAAATATTTTTTAAGAAATGTGATTAGGAGCAAAGCACTCAGGGAAGACAAAAAACTGTGGTTTATTTTGGATAAAAAGGTATACATGCAAATATATGTTCATAGTTTCATTACTTTATAGTTCCATATGGTTCAAAAGTGGCCTAAAAAGCAATGCATCAGAAATCACTGCAATTCACTCTAGGTATTGAGAATTAGATAGAAATACTTTGAGTTTGAATACTAGATTGCTTTAATTAAAAGTTAAAAGTTAAATTAATATTTGCTTTAAATCAAACCTTGTGAAGCAATCACATATATAAGATCTCCAAAATGGAAAAAAAAAAATTCCATTCATTAATTATAATAAATAAAACTGGAATACCTGATAAATATGAATATTCATGGTAAGTTTTCTAATCTTGAAATAGCAAGGTTAAAAAGTAGAGAAACTTCATTGATTCATCAAATATTTACTTAATGCCAGGCACTGCTCTAAGTCATACGAATTCAGGAATGAACTTAATAGATGAAAATAGCACTCACAGAGCTAACTTCTGCATTAGAGTTGTGGAGCAGTAAGTGAGAGAAAGAGATAGATACACACAACACACACACAGACAGAGAGAGAAAATGTGAGTCTGTGTCTATACATATACATACATACATTTTACATATTTATAAAATATATCATTACATTATTATGTGTAACAGATATATGTAAAAGTAATTTACATATTTTTCTACTTAATATGTAAAATTCTTACTTTTTTGGCAGGTAATATTCATATTTAACCTTTAAAACAATTCCCTGAGGTTGGAATAAATATTATCACATTGAGTGGCAATGCGAGAATTCAAATGCAAAAAGGCCAAATTCAGAGTCTACATCCTCAAGCTTTTCTAATAACATACTGATTATTACTGCCAATCTTTCTTACAGGGATGTCTATAATGAAAGACAGAAAGTAAATGTCCCCAAATCAAGATTTTAGAAAACAATCATCTCAGAATTTCATGACACTGATTACTGTTAGAAGATACTTTTCACATTTTAGGTATTAAAATAAGATTCCAGGAATCCCAGTAAAAATTATTGTGGAATTAAGATGACAATATTTTATTTTTTTCAGTCTAAGTGAAATTAATTCCAATATTATGTGGCATAACCTACTGAACTATCCCGTCAATGTTCATGAGTCAATGAATAAGTAACATGCACAAACATGTTTTTAAAAGACGATTCCGTTGTAAGTTCATAGATGGCTTTCAGCCTAAGACGACAGTGATTTTTTTTAAACAGTCAGTGACAATTGAGATTTAAAAAACAATACAAGTTAGAGAAATTTTTATGAGGCAATATCTTTTTATCTATGAGAAGTAATCCTTAAATCATTTTTAGAATAAGACAGTTAAATGTTAAGTATTAGTACCATAATTGTATTATCTGTAAAAAGAAGTATATAGCATTCATATCCATCATTTCAAATTGTTTGGAAGATAAATACTAAAATGTGAGGCAATGATCTGAAAATAGACATAATTACCACATTTAGGACATTCCACCTCTATACCTTCAACTAGGCCTTTGAATATTATCTTTTTACTTATGATGCTCAAATCCTTTTTCAACTACCCCTTCAGGTCTCACCCGACTAGTCTATGGGTGGTTTTCAAATATCTTCTACTTTCATTTCTTACTGATAACCATCATCTTGTGGCACCTCTATAGTGCTCAGATTGTTTTTTTCATCTCTATTTCCAATATCCTAATCCACATCACTCTGTGAAATAGACAGAAAATAAATGTTCACCTTATTTTACAGATAAGAAAGCTGTAATTCACAAATATTACCACAGTTATTACATAATATTTTAAAGGCAAAAGTTCAAGACAATTTGTACTTAGTTCAACCACCTGTTACTAATCATGTTCCTCTGGTCTACACATCTCAATAGTACCTCTCTGAGCACCATTTAATCCCCTCTCAAACCTACCGTGCAAATGGTTCCCAGAACAACCTGACTTCATTTTTCTCATGTGCATTTTCTGCTCAATAATCCACAAAAGCACTGTTTTGTTTTTCAAAGAGTGTGGTTTTTAAGAATTTCTAAAGGATGAATACAATTTTTGTATTACAAACACCACTTTTTGACATCCCTCTACCCCAAATAGAATTTTCACAACAGCCAGCCTGGGTTGCTGACTGGCACCTCAGACAAGATTATTCTGAACAGAGTGGTTTGTCAGTTAATGCGATGCCCTGCACACTTGTTCAAAGTTTTAAAGACTGTGCTGAAGTCTCATCTTCCCAAAAAATTAGGCTCAACTAACTGTTTTTGCACAAACTCACCTCTAAATGTTTGGTAAACTTTAAATCAGTATTACAAACTTTCGTCTTAAATGCACCCATATTTTCTACATGTTACCCTATGGGCCCAAGAGAGAGTGCTCAATTTCATAAAGGAAAGTATTTGGGGGTGGAATTTTGAGAATGGCTAAGTGAGGAGGCTGGCAAATAGTCTCCACAAAAATCAAAGATAAAACTGGATAAAAGTGCCAAAAGCAACTGCTTCAGGACTATAGAAATAAACCAGTCATACAACAAATTAGGAAATATTTATCAAGAAAAACTACTGAGCTTTTGGTAAGAACAATGGGGGTCCTACATCATTTTGTTAGGGAATTTTCCTCTCTTTCTCTTCCACAGCTCCAAATAAACTTAATGTCAGATCATAAAACAAATCTTGGCAAATACAAAAAGATGAAAATCATATAAATTGTGTTTCCTAACCAAAACAGAATTAAATTAGAAATAAAAACAAAAACAAATTTTGGAAATCCCTAAATATATGGAAGTTTTAGCATTTCCATATATCCCAAGCATCAAAGAAGAAATCACAAAAGAAATTAGAAAATATTTTAACTAAATGGAAGCAAAGGCACACCACAACAAAATTTATGGGATGCAGTAAAGGCAGTGCTCAAAGTCAAATGTATGTCTTTAAAGGCCCACATGAGAAAAATCAGAGGATATCAAATCAATAATCAAAGCCTCTACTTTAAGCAAAGTGAAAAGAGCAGGCTAAATGCAAAGTAAGTAAAAAAGGAGGGAATAAAGGAAATAATAGAGGAATAAAGGAAAGAAGGTATAAACTTTACCAGAAGACCAATGTTAAAATGATCACTAATTATTTAAAATCCCACTAATTAATATTAAAATCCCACTAATTATTTATTTTATGCTATTAAAAAAAACCTTTACCTTCTCTATCTGGTAGTATTTTCATTTTTAACATGACAAAAAGATGAAATTACTCTTAAGCTTCCTTCTCATTGAAAAACATATAACTGATTTTTTGGTAATCATCGACAAATCTATAAAGGATATAAAAATGTACAACATACAGGAAACTCACAGATTATTATTAGGGGAAAAATGCAGAAAATTATCCTCAAACCTTATTCAATATATTACTCAACAATTTTGCTTATAGAAGGCTGAGCTTCTTACATTTTGTTTAAATAAGTACCAAAATACATTATAATTAACGCAAGGAAGGGAAGAAATATATGGTGGTGACTATCAGTTTGCCTGTCTGCATATGTAAAATAGGACAGGATAGGTAGGGGAATAGGACAGGAAAGGACAGGACAGTATAGGATACCATTCCATTTCATTCCATTCCCTACCATACCATACCATGGGATATAATAGGGAAAGCAAAGGCAAAAGAAGGGAAGGGAAGAACGCTCCCTGAGGTATCTTCTATATACCCAGCCATTGTGGTAATACCTAGGAATAGGGCAGTGTAAACAGATGCAGTTCTTGCTCTCATAGAAGATATTTTGTTTATTAACATTAAAATCAAGGATTATGTCTTTTCTTTATTTCCTTCAGTGCAGGGAAATATTCTTTCTCAAGTATCAAAAGCTACCCAAAGCTCTGAGAGCTTTCATAGCCACAATCAACTCCTTCTTTCAAGTTTAGCCGAGGACTGACTCACAGATGCTTTAACTTACTGCTGGTATCTAAGGAACTATGCAGTCATTGTCCCATGACATTAATAAAGGAGAAAATAAGACCTGTTGTGAATAACCCATCTTCAAGAAGAGTTCTAGCATTATGTTGTATATAGGAAAATAAGAAGCTTCTTATGAAGAGAGAAAAGTTGGTAAAATATACAGCAGATGTGACTGATGGAGGCTTGAACAGACATCTAGAAAAGGATTCAGTACAAAATGGAAATTCCATATGGGCAAGATGGACTAATAGCTGGGGCTAGTTGGATTCCTGCTCTCCTTTAAGCACTTCTGCATTACAAGTAGTCAACAGGCCATGTCTGTAACCCTAGGAAGACTTGGTGGGCCTCCAGGAAGGCATTTCCTCAGCAACGCCTGCTCTTTTCTTTCTCTGCTTGAGAAATAGCTTTCAAATTATCAATATGAAAAAAATAATAATTTACCCTGTGTTTTTATCCCTCAAAAATGGCTATGACTATAACTACACATGACATATGGTATTTGCATACTAATCATGATTTCCAACTTCTGTAATAATGGGAATTATCAAGCTTCTCTTGTTTATAATAAAATGTGCCTACCCTCTATAGTTTTAAATGGTAATTTTCTAGTAGAACATGCTGAAATCTACCCTGCAGTTTATAACTGAAATAATAATTGTTAAACAGTAAATACATACTCTATGACAAAACAGTTCAAAACAATTGAAAGTTTGCTTTGTAAGTAATGAAAATATAACAGTAATTTATTTTTAAGTATTTAAGAAGTTTTAGTAATAAGGGGATTATAAAGATCAATGTTCATTTGTTCAATTTCAGTAGGGATACAGTAAATTTTTAATAATAAATATTGTTCAAAACATAGAGGAGTCAAGTCAGGAATGAAAACATTTGTTCTCAGAATTCCTGTTAGAATGAGAAACTACCACTCATAAAGTAAATAGATAATTTTCAAGATACACTTGCAACTAAGTGACACTGATCACTACCACTTCTTCAAATATAAACTTTAAAACTCATATTTTTTCTAATATGAATATACAAAGAAAATATATAGTCACCTTAGTCTTTACAGTAGCTGTATTTTTGAAAGATTGCATATTAATTCACTTTGAATGTATTGGAGACATTCACTGTTCACACAAGCTCTATACATTTTGAAATGCATCGCAAAATAATCAGCTTTCAACAGATATATTATTTAAGCATTCTACAATTGGTCTATCTCCTTTTCTTTCAAACTGGCCAAACAAACAGACCAAAACCTAACCTGAAACATGCATTCTGGGAAGTGTAAGTCAGAATAACTTAGGGTGTACACTTGATGATTCATATGATAATTATCTCAAGTTATGGATGTAAAAAATCTTGTTCTGGTTTATGTTCCAAATTTGAGTAAGAAATTAAAAAAACTTCATTAAAGCAGAAATGGTCTTCTAAGAAAAATCATTTTCTTAACATATTTATTTATCTTGTCTTTACCCAGTTTTTAATTCACAAAAATGCCCTTTCCCCTCATGGTAAGTTTAGATAAATAAATTTAGAATCTAATCTTGAACTATTAAATACAGGGAAAAGCGTAAGAACCAGTTATTGTGCCAACACATGCTACCAAATACCTTCTACAGACTTATGATAGAATTTTTTAAAAGAGTTATTGCATTTATGTAAACTTATGCAGTTTCTTAACGTCAGTTCCAAAAACAAATGATTTCTATCTCACATATCTATAAGGCTAAATTTTCAGGTGATTACAAATCCCAAAAAAAACCCCAATATGTCAGAATCCTTAGTGTTTTACTAAAGATGAGAACTTGGCATCTAATGAACTGTTCTTGGAGGTTTAAAATAGTTGAGATTGCCAAGCCAGACACTGAATCTCAGATGAGCTTTTTTCCAAAAATCCTCATTCCTCTGGTCATTAAAAAAATAAAAATCAATAAATGTATTCTAACTAAAGTTTTAAAAGCTTCTGAGAAGTGACCTCTGCCAAAGTGTTTTGGGAACATTCCAACTGTGCAGGGGGCAGAATGCAGGATCAAAAAGCAGAAAGAAGGAAATAAAGAAATGCTTCTGCACATGTGAAAAAAAAATCTGGCTGGGGGTCTGAAAAGGATTAACTTACATATCAAATATCAGATTTCCATTGCATTGCCATTCTGCTTTATCCTTTTTTCTTTCCCCTTCCCACATTGCCTGCAGTTCATCGCATGAAGCTTTATTTCTCACTTTGTCTAAGATTTCAAGCAGAAAATCTTCAGTACTGAGGTCTTAAAAATGGTGTGCTTTATGTTCCACAGTAATAGTCCCTTATTTGAGACTCCAACATCTGGAAATCAAACCAATGTAACTTACAAGCCTGGATCAAGAAATATGTCTGGGGAGGGGAGAATCACACTGTACTAAAATTCAACTCAACTTCATAGAGGCCCTCAATCAAGACCTACTTACTCTTTCTTTCTTATACAGAGTTGTAACAAGCAGAAATCAGAAGCAAAAGCAGAGTACTGACAGACTGTCATCCAGCAGAAATAACTACAGCTTTAAGGAAAACAGAAACAACCTAGAAAGAACTTTGGAAATAGTTTTATTATTCAAATGCAAACATCTGCAGTTTGGACACTTTAATAGGATGGATATTTCCCTCAACTTTTCAGAAAGTTTTTTCTACCTAAAGAATTCCCCCCACACCCACCCAAACAAGATTCTAGATAACTGACGTTTTACTCATACATGATTCAAGCTCATCATAATAAGGTTAGGCAATACTGGTATTACAGATTAGTAAGAGTTAGCCCCCCTGCCTTTTGAGGAAATTACTTTTAAGTATTTATATTTTAGGTCTATATATCATAGACATAAAAAAAACCAGTATATAAATCTATATTTTAAGTTCTTTAGATATTGCATGCCCATTGGGGGAAAATTAGTATCACTCTTCCAAATAATGTCCACTAAATTTTTTTTACCCTGTTGGCTTTTTGTAGGAAAAAGTTTATGCATCCACAGACCTTTTTCTTAATAAATATAATAAAAATTTCACGAAAAGTCAGGGGAAAGCACAAACACAGTCCCCCACTACCACAAATTATGCAGTCGAGTTTCCCACATTTGGGGAAATTGCAGGGGTCAGCCATCCAGAGTGCAACGGATAAGCCTGGCCCTGGGAAAACCGCCTTCGTGATCATGGTATCTCCCCTGCCAGGTAGGTATATTCCACAGACCTTTCTAAAGACAATGGATGTTGCATACAGCTAGCAATACAACTCTTTAAAAAGTAAAAGAGTCTATTAAAGTGAAACAATATTTTTCAGGATAACAAAAGTCAAACAACAGCAAACTATGGAAATGATTTATCTAAATTAAAGTATTGCTGTTATTTTTTAAATTTAATTGATGCTGAATTTAATTTCCATTGTTAGTAAATATTATCAATTTGTTTTGAAGTATGCATTCAAGAGACACAAAGGAAATACTAATAATGAAAATGTTAACATTTTAACATTTTTTACTACTTTCCTCCTTAACAATGAAAGTTAAATTCTCAAATTCATATGAGATAAATATGCAAACATAATTTTACATATACCTATAAATAAAAAACTGTTACATCTGTTTTTCCTTCAAGATGGTATTTCAAATTAAAAAACTATGCTTCATAGAAAACAGTCACACATTTATCATGTCTTACATGATTATTATATGCTTATTATAATTTTAAGAATTAACAATCAAAGATAAACTAGATATTTTTGAAAAAGCAAAAAAGAAGAGTCTTGAAAAATTTGTCTGAGATCATTTTTATACTCCCCAAATCTTTTTTCTTCTAATGCTTGGCAGCACCTTTTAAATATTTTAACATTTCAATGTGTTACTCTAACTTTTACTTCTATTAAAATGGATGACAATTTAAATTGCAGGCCAACATTTAATATACTCATATTTCAAAAGAACATTGTTTACAATCATTTCATTCAATAATCAATCTAATAAAGAAAGAGCCACAGTAAACCTAAAGCTGTGCTAGCTAACTGGGCTACAATACCGAGTTAAATATTGTTCCTACTACCAGGACATTCACAGTCAATTGTAAACTTTCATAACAGGACACAATAATCTTGGTTTGGTAATTTAATTATCAACATTAGGTATATGAATAATAAATAGTAAAAATAACAAAGCAACAGCAAAAAAACTTAAAAGGTCAACTAACTGAATGGAAGCACAGTGTAGATCATCATCCAGACAAACTGTTAACAAGCACAATGGAATACAAAGGCAAATTCACTAAAAAATATTACCTAAATATTAGATAGCAAATAAAAATTAAAAATCTGTCTCTATTCCACTGCAGTCAAAGACAGTCAAATGCAAGTTGATCCAATTAAGCCAATTTTTAGGATCCACAACTACTTAAAAGCCTGAGCTATATACTAAGTGATGAAGGCAAAATGGATTTGGTCCAAATCCGCTTTATTTGCTTAGATGCTATTTATTACAGCTATATTTTATTATACGGTAGTAAAAAATTACAATGTGACATCCTGTTATTTCCCACTGGGAAAAGTGATACAGATGCACTATTAAACCTCAGCACAGGCATTGGGACACCAGGCTACATTCCACTTGTGCCTTTATAATGTGTCAATAGACATTGATGTTTATGCAGCTGATGGTAAAGCCAGCCAAATTACTGCCACTTAAATGTTCCATAAAATCATGGCTTTATCGAAGTCTAGAACCTTTTCAGCATCTCGAGTGACTATATACATATTGGAAAGAGAATGCTTATTTTACAATAAAGCAAGTAATGACCACTATTTCTTTTTTAAAAAAATATTTAAATGCCTTAAATTTTCCCTAAAACTAATATACTATTTTCAAGGAAAGGAACTAGCATATCACAGAATAACTAAACATTTATCTTTGCCCAACCAAATTTTAGGTAGGTTGTATACCCTAGTGCTGACCAGCCATAAAAAATAATTTGTTGAGAAATTATGCTTCACAAGAGAATTAAGACTATAGCTTTTCTAAACCCCACATCTTTCCTTCTTTCACCGTTATTCTCACCAATTTTTATTCATCATGTGTTGAAAATGTTGCAGGTATTATACAGAATTCTAACTATACAAATAGAAATTCTCATTTATTTCTGTTATTTCAAAGAGACAAAGAGAGAGATGATAAGAAAATTTAGTTTTTCTGTTAATAGTTGACAATTCTAAAGATACTAACTGGTGTTCTACAGTGCTATATGCTTTTGGCAGGAAAATATTCAGAGATTCACCTGCAGAGATTCAGGTGATCTAAAATTTGCTTTTCCTCTTGAAGCCGAAGCATTTTTATCCTGGCTGCCATGGGGCATCCCCCACAAGGCCTCAGCAGATCCTGAAGCTGAGAATTCCTACTCTCCAACAGCACTGCTTCAGACTATATCTAGACCTCCTGTAAAGGCAGAGTAAGTGAGGCACCAAGGCAGATACATTTCCCTTGCCTCCAATATATGAATGACTAATTATTTTTGAGGTAGTTTAGAACAACTGCTCTTGAACATCAAGAGCCTCTGTTAGCTCAAGGTGTCTATGCCTTTTGCACTTGCCAAGATACTGGTTCCCTTAACAGCCTCAGTAGAGCAAAAGAAAACAATAATGTATGTTTTAGAGCAATCAGTTGAACATCTGAATTATAGCTTGTATTCAATCTTTTTATAAATTTTTGTGATCTTCAGGTCAAATAAGCTCAATAACAACAATTTCATTTTTTAAGATCTTCCTATTCAGACAACCAACTTTGGCTAAAGGGATGTCTAGGTAGCATGTACCTGCATTATAGTTGTAAGGCCATAACCATTTTTTATGGATTGAGTGTAATGATATTAGCCTACTTTACTTGTCTTCCACTCCCTTCATGAGAGAAACAATTTTTTTTTCTGTTTTTTAGAGACTATCCTACTATTCAGTGATCCCTCTAGAAGTTCAACCTAAGGCTAAGTAAGGTTTGTCATAATTGTTACAACTTTTAAGAACATGAGCACAGAATTATTATTTATCACACTTATTAAATTTTCATAACACAGCCATCCAAAAGTTGACATTGATTGACATTAACGTTCAAGTATTATGAAGAGAAAAGATCACCACAAATGACATTACAATAACCATTAATATTATTACTGAATTTTGGTGATGATTATTATTTCTCAAATGCTCTGTCTTCATCTCTAACTCCAACCTGTTTGTACATAGGGTGACTCACATTTAGAACGTCCTTCTTGAATTCTCCATCCATGTTAATGACTTCATGTATTCAGCCATCTTATATTTATTCTAAACTTACTGTGTGCTAGACAATGAGCTATTTTGTGTTCTATAAAAATAAATAACACAAGAGCCCTGCTTTTTATGATGTTTAATCCCTTGTGGAAGAAAGTTGTACAAATAAATATTTTTAAAACATAAGGGCAACATTTTGTTTAAAAAAACAACTGAAAGGTGTGAAGAAATACAGTAGAAGATTTGGTTTGTGAGCAAACCTATACTAATATTTCATGTTTTTTTTAATTATTTTTTTTTCTTTGCGATGGAGTTTCACTCTGTCACCCAGGCTGGAGTGCAGTGTCGTGATCTCAGCTCATTGCAATCTCTGCCTCCTGAGTTCAAGTGATTTCCCCTGCCTCAGCCTCCTGAGTAGCTGGAACTACAGGTGCACATCACCACAGCTGGCTAATGTTTTGTATTTTAGTAGAGATGGGGTTTCACCATGTTGGTCAGGATGGTCTTGATCTTCTGACCTTGTGATCCACCTGCCTCAGCCTCACAAAGTGCTGGGATTACAGGTCTGAGCAACTGAGCCCAGCCTATTTTAACGTTTTATTTATCATCCACTATCATAAAATGAGAGGACAGGATATATCATTTATTATTTGACCACAACCTCCAATTATTTATCATAGATTACATATATGACATATAGAATATATATGCATAATGGTAATCAACCCAAAATGTGTATGCTCTGGACACAGACTGCTTGATTACAAATTCTAACTCTCACACTAGCTGTATAAACTTACTTAAATTATTTTTGCCTAAATTTGCTCATCTGTAAAATTGAGACTATGAGGTATCTTAAAGTGTTACTGAGAAGATTAAAAAAATAATCCAAGTAAACTACCCAGAACTATCTCTAGCACATATTTGGCAAAAACCGTGTTCAGTTAGTCAGACCTTAAATGCTAACTTGTTGTTTTATATGCATGTACTTTTTGAAATCTTAACATATAGAGTAAATAACATTATCACCATTTAACAGACGATGAAACTGTAATGCAGGGAAGTTAACATTTTCTCAACATGAGAGAATTTCTAAATTGGCACATTCACAAAACAACGTATATCTGCAGTATTCAAAAAGGACAGAAACAAACATCACGCACATTAGTTTGGGCATCATATACTACATGTTTACAACTCTAGCCATTTCAAAAGATACCAGTGAATGGCATTACCAGATAAAAATATAGCAGAGTAAATGAAAGATCAAATTTGTCAAATAGTATAAAATCCTTAAAAAAACAAATACTACCAGCTCTTACTTTATTTAATTGGAGCTTTAGAAAGGAAGACAATAATGCAACTGAAACAGAAAATTCCACCCGTAGCAGTGAGGAAGACGTGTCTCGGAGTTTTCATTATATCACAATCATGAAACTAACATTAGGACAAATGCTACTCATACCAACATATTGCTTAAACAGAGAAACTGCCATCTTAGTATCACAGTCTATTCAATGTAAAGTTCTTAAAGAAACACTTTAAATTACTCAAGCTAGACAGATGAATCAATAACACTGATTTTAAACCCATGAAAAATATAGTTAAGGGATATTCATGAGACATTGGTGTCAATATGCTATACTTTGAATCAAAATATAGGAGGATGAGATTTTCATTGGTAAATGGCTACACAAATCTTTGAACACTATAAATTAGCAATAGACACAGAGATATATACAGCAGGGCAATCAGAAGGTAATATTTTTTCAAATCATATATGTTTGTATGGAAAGGTCATATATATATATATGAAACTTTATACAGTTTGAGTCTTAAACAACATGGGTTTGAACTGCATGAGTCCATTTAAAATAACTGGGATTTTCTTCTGCCTCCATCACCCCTGAAACAGCAAGAACAGCCCTATTCTTCCTC